TACAACGAGTGAACCTATATTTTGACGACTATTTATTTGTTTGGTAATGGAACAAAGTGAAATAAAAGGACAATAAACGTTATCAGGGGCCCGTTGCAGGCATCACTGTGTGGTAATGAAATGTGTGCACTTTAGTGGACCACCTAGAAGGTCTCTCACTTCTTGTTAACGAATCGCAGCGTTACGGAAATTTTATTGCGTTTTGAACGATTTAACTTGCTATCAATGGAATTTGTTAAGGGCAAACATTCAAATTAACACCCACATCTTTCTATATACCTGGTGAACTGTGGATTAGTTTTGAACATTCCGAAGGTGTGGTTTATTTGCTTACCAGTAATGTAAACTGTCTATTCCTGTCATTAAAATTTCATCGTCTGTGAGGTAGGTAGTCACAGTATGTTTTTTAAAATTGCATAGGTCCCTCTGTTGAATCACCTCCAAATTTAACTTGAATCGGCCAATGTTGTGTGTTGCGAGTATATAATAGAGGTCTTTATCAGTTTGGTAGAATAAACAAACAAAATTGTAAACATTTTTCATCAAAAACTCTAATCACTATCCTTTAAATCTCACTGTTTCTTCTATAAGGTTTAGTACTTTCTCTGCTAATTATACCTTATACCTTTAAATGATAGAAAATTCAAGAAACTAATGCAGACGAATGTGATACGAATACGGCGAAGACGTATTAACGCGGCGCGTAAACAGATTTACGTTGTTTACAGATGCTTTCTCTGTTACATGTTTATTGCTCGACGGATGACATAACACAGCTATACAATTCCATCAAGTCTCTTCAACACATATTTTGCTATGCAAAAAGTATGCTGAATATTTTTTATTATAGGGTCAAAAATGACAATTTTAAAGGTAAGATAAGGTAGACTTTGTCAATCAAGGAATACCCTTAGGATATATAGGTAAAGGTAGTTATTCCAAATAAATATTTCATTATAACGTGAAGGCTAGCTAGAATAAAAAGCTAAAGTATGTACTATAATGGTCCGTGTCAGCACGTGTCACCGTGTAATGTGGTATTCATCCCGTGGTAAGAGCCGACTAAGGAAGAAAACTTCGCAGGATACCAGCACTGCAAAGAGAAGGCAAACAAGACACAAATCCTAAACCTAAACGTCTGGCCAGCATTTTATAATAGGCCAAAACCTCCTTTCTAAGGAGAGGCCTATGTCCAGTAGTGGAATATTAAAAGCTGTAATGATGATGTGGATGTACTCGTAGACCATTCTCGTTGACCAGTTTTGCGGTTATCAACCATATCATGATCTGGTTAGTAACCGCAGAAATTTGCCTTTGCCTAGGTATGTGATACACAAAACAACAATACTCGATTGACGTTGACATTAATGCTCGCTTAACAATTGAATGATAAACGACATATTATTGCAATGCGAGTAACCAAAGATTGATTCTCGATTCGGTTCACGAACTCGTTTTTTATTGGCAATCAAATTTTTGTTTATTATTCCAGAAGGAATACGCCATGTGCCACATACCTATGAGTGTATGCTCTCATTATTGTAAAAGTTAAATTAATGTAGCAATAAATTAGCGAATTATTCGCGATTCGCTCAGACACATTCCGATGTAATCATTAAAATAGGTTGTTCTTGATCACTGCGTAAATTAATTCCAGCTTGTTAATAAATTGTGAGGCGTTGGCAAGGGCCAGGAATGATTTCCTTGTATTATGACAGAGTACTCTCCATCCATACCACTTTGGAAGTTACGGATGCGTACAATGTCCAGTCTGCTAAAAGCAACTCGCACGCGCGTACATCGGGCTACGCGTATGCTCGCGGGATACCGCCCTTAAATCTCGCGCCAGTTTTAAATTTGACAACAAATCAACTAACCCGTACAAAATAATATAGACAATATTTCTTTTAGTGGATTATTTAATCTGATACTTTGGAAGAAAACGTTCGAAATTTACAAAACTTTAGGATAGGTGAGTTTTTATAAATATTAATTAGCGTTTTATTTCTCATGAATATTAATTAATATTATCATAATAGTATCAATACTGAATGTATTTAGATAGTGATATTTATGACTCGAAGCTGTAATAAAATTAAGTGGAACTTTATTGGAAAAGCTGTACGTATTTGTAAAACGTCTTAATTTCCAAGTTATGCCTTTACTGTGAAAGCCGGTTGCGTTATGATGGCCTATTTAATGTTCGTTATTTACCTTAACATCGCAGGCGCAATGATAAACTATTGTTAAGGTACACAGTACCTTTATTCAGGTCATTCGTGAAGCTTTTGTAAATAATGTTCTACTGTGGTGTACAAATTGTTGGAGAAAAAGTAGATTAAGTAATAAATTGTATGTTATGATAAGAGAGAATGTATATACATTATACGTGAGTGTTCAATAGATCGAAAGAAAGAAGAAAATCAATAGCTTTTTTTTGTCTATCGATAAATAATATTTAAATTACTTTACAGTAATTGGGAATAATTACTCTAAAGTAATTTAATATTGTTCGAGTTTTGACCTTTGGACACTACTAGATTTTGCCAAAAATTTAGCTTCTTAGCCAGATAGTAAATAACATTATGTCCCTGGTATGTTTTTTAAACATCTGGAAACGGGCTTATTTGTAGTGTGAGAGTCTAGGGCAATAAGCTGCCAAGAGCCATCCCCTTGCTTTTAAATTTTGTCTATATATTTCATTCATGCAATGTTTCAAAACGCCCCTATCTGGAATTATAGAATTATTTTACTGGTAATAATTTCAGTAGGTTTATTTGCAAGGAAAGCACATGTATTCCAAGACTAATATTGTAGTTCTGATTTTTAAAAGATAGAAAAAAAATGCAACAAGACTTGAATGCTAACTGGCACCGATGATCATATGATGATCGATCGATCGATAAATATTTAGGGCTCCTTTACATTAGACTTACAATAAACGTTGGTGACGACCTGAGCGCGCTTATTGCGGCGGGTGGTGTGTCAAAATGCTTCAAGAGTGTTATACCGGGTTTTGAACATCAGGGCTTGATATTTGTAACAGGAATTTATTGAAAATTGAATTTATTTTTAAATAAAGCCATCAGTACAGTTTTCTCGTCAGACTTAATTCCTCAGTATTCTTCACCAGTCAAGGTTTCAGTGATGCATAGAAATAAACTTTTTCGGTGCATTTTAAAAGTAAAAACTTTAAGAAGAAAAAGACAATTATATCGCATATTTACGGAGTTAAGTCACGCAAGCGACTGCAGAAAAAACGTCACGCACGTTTTGGTGACGTCTGCGCTGTGCATAAGTTCCTCGAAATTCTGTAATTATACTTAGATGTTTATAGATTTATCTTGTGCATTAGATATAAAAATGTTAGACTTAAAATACGGTAAAAAACGGAATGACTTATTTTACAAGAAGTATCTTTCCTACTTGAGTAATAACATTGTATATCAGTTTGCTCAGTACACGCTATTGATAACAGGTTGTCTCCTAACACACTAACACAGTGCAATTCATGTCGTAATTGTTGGGTAACACTATCACAATATTTACCTCTTTTAGTTACTTATATTGTAAAGGAAAATAAAAGTTAAACTGAGTTTTGCTCATAACTAACTCATACTATATAATATAGACTTCAGAACTCTAACTGTAATAACTTATGAGAAATGAAAATAAGACAAAAAAAGAGACCACCTATATCTGACTAATAACTAATCGTTCGGTACCCTATTTAAAGAATTAAATCACGTGATTTCAATGAATTACCTAACTTAAAATGCATTTTTATATTTTTTTATTTATTTTATTTACATATTTCAAGATTCAGTATTCTCTAATAAGGCATAGTTTTGTTATCAATGTGTACTGCATTCTCTTATCCTAAATGAGTCAGTGTTTCACAGGGCGATGTGTTGTTTGCTTCTTATCTTAGTACCTGCTTCCGTTTTCTGCCTCCGTTTAAACCTATTAACATTGTAAAATGGAGTATAATCGAGCAATAAAGACCCAAATCAATGTTCAGATCTGGGTCTGTGTTGCTTTATGAAATTATATATTAAAAATTAATTTTAGCCTAAATCCTTAGATTCACAAGCAATGAATTTGCAGATTATTTTTGGAATAGAAACCTCACAAGAGTATCCATAGTTAGTAAGTGTAAATGGTTTTGCGCACGTCTATTTTTCACTTTCTGCGACGGTACCACTGACGGGGAAGGTCACTTCAACCCTATAAAAAGATACGTGTTGAGTCTGACACTAGTCGGGCATCCCCTTATTACACGTGGGTAAGCCCGTTTACCTTTTATATATAAAATCAATGTAATAGAAAACATGACATATTAATTTTTTTAAACGAGGAGCTTTAGGCAATTTCTCAGGTTCATACTCGTTTCAATTACTTTGTTTGCTTCTTCGTCTAACTTCTGAAAGAAAGTTAAGACAGAGTAATGTGTAGTATTTAAAAGTATTTTTTTTTGATTTAAAGAAATACGAAACTAGTTGAATGCTGAAATTAGTCAAAGATGTAAATCATTGTTGAAAAATAGTCATTTGGGAATGTAAATTGTGAATAGAATTCCCCTATCGGGTGCAGTATACTAGTCATAAGGAAGCAAGTAATATTGTGCTAGTATTTCAATACATGCCTATATACCAATATGAAGGCGTATTAAAGAAGTACCATGGGGTTACTATAAAAACTTGAATAATAGTTAAGATGTTATAGCAATATAAAAAAAAACTTCTTGAATTACGATTTAATGTCGGCCTGACTTATTTTATTGTTTCAGGAAACACCACAGAAAATGATATGGGTCCGTACGACGCTACAGTGATCAGCTATGGAGTGACGTAATATGTTGTGGTTTCAAATGTTTAACATTATAAGACTATATCAATCTATCTTACATTGAATATACTCATTAAGGTATCGTTACATAATAAAATGAACACATACAGGTATATGACTATTAGCGCAAAAAATAAGCAGTGAGTCGTAAAATGGAGCAGAAAATACATTTTCTAAGAAAAAAGTTGTTATGGTGAGTTTGTATCTTAATATATATATATATATTTTTCTTTTGAATGTTCTTCAAACGATTCAACAATTTATGAAATCGTTGAATAACAGGTTTTTCGTTTATGAATATAATATAATACGTATAATCAAATTTTTAAACTGCGCATATGGTTAAGGCCCACGCAGTTTTACGTTTTTCTAAAATTTACGCCTAGATACAAAATGAAGAATCTAGAGATATTGACGTAAGTTTAGTTTCCGTTTAGTAACAGTGTTTGAATAATATGAGTTGAACAGACTTACTTATAAACATTAGATCGTTAATTTTATATTAATATACTTAAAGTACGGCACAAGAGAGAATTAATCTCTCTATGGACCAGAGTGGGAGTGAATATTTGCCGAGAGAATATGTAGTAAACTAAACTTATATTACCATCTCGTACGTAAGGCTAAAGGACTCCTCCCCTAGGAGCATGAACCTAATGGTAGAACCGAACAAGGCCTTAGACGGTAAAAGTGACGATGATCTGTGCTCGTATCTCTCAGTGTAAAGACCATACAACTGTGACGAAGCTTCTTGTGTTCCACTGCAGTTTGATTCTCACCAGGATAACTAGAACTCTACAAGCGAGCTCAGAAACTAAACTGCTTTAGCACTGACTATAGGATATAAGCGAACAAAATTCTTACTAGCTTACATTTAAATCATTATTACATTACATTATTTTATTTATTAATTTTTAATTGTATTCTACATTTAGCCTGGTAGTAACAAGTAACAAGTAGCTCTGGTATATCACGCGAAATAGGACGCGATGAAGTGATAATGTGTTTAACCTTTAATAAACTCAAGTTAAAATAAAATAGTGGCTAACTGCATTGACATGCATTGACATAAGATTTTAAATCAGACGGAATCTATAAATCTCTGATTATTAATACACACTGCAGTAACTGTCTAGTAGTGAAAAGCTTTTCTAACAGTTTTGAAAAAAAAAATGTTTGTATCCCAATGAAAGCACACAATGTCTAATAAATCAGAAGGAACGGTAAATTTACGACGAGAGAATGCGAGTAGGTAGGAAGGCATGTTTCGACCACGCGGATATAATAATATTGTACTGTAGGGCTAGTGTTGCTGCATTCTAGGATTCGCCTTGTAATTTCCACAATTGTTCACTAACATATAATTTAAAAAAAGGATAAGTTAAGTATATTCAGGTGTTCAAGACACCTGAATATACTTTCTCTTCCAGTAGAACCAGAAGAACCTTAATGGTTCTTAAAATTTTCAAGGCTGTTTCTTAGTAGGGTCGTAACCTGTAGGTATGATTTCCATTTTCCGTTGTAAATATATAAAATGGACTAATTGACAATAAAATTTGATAATTACTTTTGTATTTGCTAAAGAATTCTCTCGTATTTGAGATATTATAAATCGAAGACTCGCAAAACGATCTGAAATAAGTAATTTCGATGGCTTAGGTGCATTCACAATATCTTTTCAGCTGTGTTTCAAATCATCAATTGTAACGTAATTAACTTTTATATTTTACGCTAGTTAGTAGTACGTCAAAAAATAATAATAATCAGATGAGTAAATGTGGAATCTTATTTCTATTATTTATTTCATGAATTAAGAATTAATAAACAAAAACAAGACTTACTACTCATCTGTACTTTTTGATTGGATTTGGACACCCCTCCATCGCCTGATTAAACATAAAAAGCGTGTGAACTGATGAGCACAATAGATCGACAAAATAAATTCACAATGACCGTTGTAGAAACATTTGTCCATCATAAATATTTTTGTACGTGTTCGAACGGTAAACTTTTATGGGTACTACCTGAGAGTCCTTTGAGAGTAAAAGTAAATAAAAATTATACGGTCCATTCATAGGGCAAGCGCACGCGCTGCCTCAGGATAAAAAAATAAGGTCAAGGGACTCTTGATTTAAGAATTGTCCTTAACACGTGGGTCTGAAAACTTGTGTTAAGTGGATGACAGACGTAGATTTCTATTTTAAATATGATAAAGATGTCACGCATGTAAAAATTTAGTGAAAAGGCTTAAAATATATCATTTATATTTTTTTTGTATACCATTTTCAATCATATATCTATAAAATTTCATGCGGCAATCGATGAATGCTTTAGTTAAATGTTTGTCATATTGTCGACAGTTTATGTTAACGTGTAGAAGTTGTATTACGACATCATAATGGACATAAAATGTACATTGTTACGGTGGACGGCGGGTGATCTTACTCTGCTGGGTAAGCTTTAACGGTCTATACTCAGTACAGAACCGCGAAAACCTTATAACTGTTTATAGCAGTGTTGGATTGTGTCTATTTGTATCTTTGTAGATGCAATTATTCTCAGATAACTGTGTATCTAGTACAAACTGCAGGTACTTATAATTTAAGCACCTTGGTTTATGACCAGCCTTTGTACATAATAATGATGGTGATATTAGTAAACTTTTAGATGCTTTTGTGCAAATATAAAATATTAAATACATATGTATACATGCCTGTAATAGCTGAAAAATTGATTAATTTTTGAATATGATATATTCCGATACAGCCATGCTTGCTTTGATCCTTGAGCGTGGGTAAAACTATGGGAATGGGCAGTATAAATATACCCACACATATGTATATACATTTATGTCATGCAAAATACTATTTTTCCACAGAAGTTGCCCACACTGGTGAACGCACAGAGACAGTGTTATTTGTAGAAATCTTCTTAAATATAATAAAACCAATGTATACTGCGTCTGGCCAGCGTGGTATAGTAGGCCAAAACCTCCTTTCTAAGGAGAGGCTTATCTCCAGCAGTGGACTATTAAAGGCTGTTGATGATGATACTGCGTATGCAAGATTTCGTGATAATGAAAAGTATGAAATTTTCCAAATACTATCCATCCATGGAGGAGGAAAGTCACTAAAAAAAAAAATGTGTTCAAGGTTTCAGAATTCCGTAGTACTAACAAGGAACCATTAAAGTTTCGCCATGACCTCTGTCAGGCGTCTGTCTGCCCATTAGCGGCTTAGCTTAGAATGTTAGTACTAGAAAGCTATAATATTGCATGAGTATACACACATGAGAGCATGCATGGGTCATGCTTGGACGATATGTAAGATACCAAGCCAACTATACCTTCTCCCTGTTGGAACACTCTGCGACATCTGGTCTACAGTATGCCAAACCGCATATCCAGAGATTGATTATTTTTTATGATGTTTTTTTTTGATTTAATAAGTAAATTTAAAGTGTCATAAAATGACATGGTGGTAAAATAAAATATTGAATTTGTTTTCACGGTCTCTCCCTAAACGTAACGTGGAAAAGATTGTTTTGCTCGTTTATCATGTTCCTATAGAGTGGGTAGTTGTTGTATTAATCTTTCATAAACTTGCATGTACTAATTATTGGTTGAGTTAACTGTTGCTACTCTACAAGCAACGATGTCAGCATGAAAAAAATAACTTTTACAAGATACAAATTACTTAAGAAAAGGGCTAAACTACTGAAACATGTAATGAGTGGTTCAACATACACTTGACCGATTTTTAATAGATTACCAAAGCTCAAGTCATATGGCTCATAGACTAGAGCTCATAGGTTTTCATTACGTAAGAAATACGAATTATCAAAATTATAATATTCGGATATTCATGTGTTACTTATAACGTTATGCCCATAAAGTTATTTTTAATCTAAGTAATGAAGAAAGTTTAGTGTTAAATGATTAGGCATACCTACTTTAAATGACTACAAAATCGATATTTACGATGCCAATGCTCTTGAAATATTTAGTGGTCGTGAAATCTTAACGATCTCATAATTCCTTGTAGATTTTCTTGTTTATTTTCAAAAGTATTCATCACCTTATAAAGCGATATTTCCTTGCCCTTAGTTTTGCGTTCAATTGGCAACCGTCAATCGCCGCTAGCACATGGCCGCTGCTCCAGTGTAAATCCAATTAGTACTACTGACATGTTTACATTTTTTTCGTGTATATTCATTATTGAATGATAATTAACATTGTTGGTTTTGATTTGTACTTTTTACTTGTCATTTACATATTCAGTTGCTGATATGATAGATGTTATATAATACGTTTGGTTTGGTTAATTGAGTGTAGATATAAATTTCGTACGGCGTCAAAATATTTGACTTCAAGGTATAAAACTAATTAATCAATTAAAATTTTAGTCATAAATTTATGGTGTAACTATGTCGGAGTAATATCTAAAGTTTGTTATTTATGAATGACTATAAACTTGCAAATTGTTCCATGCCATTAAAATTTCGTCACTTAGAGGTACTTCAAAAAAGAAATAATTTCTCATGTAGTATGGTAGGCAGAGTGATTTTAACATAAAAATAACGGCGATCGGCACTTAATAAACCACTTAAGATGTTCATTAAGGCATTTTACAGACTCGTTTGATCGTTTTAATGTGGAGTGCGATGCGGGTGCATTCGGGCGGTGCTTCTCGCTCCAGCTTCAAATATCTAATGGAGACGTCAGATTGCGCAACACGCTGAGAAGTGCGTGGGCGAAGCCGGGACAGGGTTGTCCGCAATCAATCATCGACGACTCAGTGGTTATAATTATTTGGTGCTTTCGTACACATCCATTAATTGATACGTTACGTTTCGAAAATAAAGGAGTAGTTTGTCTCAAATGTTACATAATCTGTCTTTCAAATAATTTAGAAAACAATTTGTGTTATTAACTTTGATCTATAACAAATTGACAGCCCTAGTGACCTGACCAAATCGGTAAAGTAGTATTATACAAATACGAAGTTCTTTCATGTCACTACGATCGCCCACCGGCTTCGCTGCGGTTACTCGATTATTTGTTTAACTTTAGACAGTCGTGTAAGCAGATGTTGTTAGCCTCATTACCTCACGTTTACCTGTGAGAGGAAATTAGTGAGGCTGATAAATTGTGTGTACACAGGGATAATAAATTGACCTATGGTCGTTACCTTCTAGCACTTTTCACAATCTACTCATCATCACAATCTACTCATTAAATTGTCATGTGGGATAGGGATAACTGGTAGAGTATAATGTATTGCGAAATGCAACGTGTATTCCTAAAACGTAAACTACAAGCCAGTGTTGACTCTTTTGTGCAATAATGTATTGAAATTATAATGGTTTTTGTATTTCGATCGATAAATCTTTCATAACGGTTTAAAAAAAAACATCGGTCTTGGGGAGGTGATTAATGATTCAGATGATGTTCTCATAGATTTTAATAATCGATTCTTTGTTAAAAAATTTTTGGTTTATGGAACATGAACTCATAAGATAACATAAGATAAGATAACTCATATTGCCAATAGATGCTTGAAGGAACATTTAAGAAAATAAGTACTTGCATTTGACATTGCATGGAACAGTTGCAAAGAGAGATACATTGAGAGAAAAACATTTATAGATGAAGACCGTATACTACTAAGGGTGTTGCCATAAATTTCAAGTTGAATATCGCTTAACTCAATATATATTTTATTTCTTTTCAGGGCTTCGGTAATGGTACAAATCGTAATGTTAGCGTCAGCTACTAATTTAACTACAACAGAAATACCACCTCAGGTAATATATTGCTTTTGTAACTTTTAACAATTTAAATTTAGTCTTTGTTTCAAAGTCAGGCAATATGTACTTTTCTGATCAGTATGGATTTATATCATCTTAGTAGATGATTTACTTCCGTTTCGTTACAGAATTTGGTTTTCCGGCTAATTGAACAGATAGTCACCATTGAAATGCCTTCGATAGATTCATATTTATTGACAGCAATGTACTAGAACAAAAAACAAAGGTATTATAATTGTATCGATATTTTGTACTTACAGGTGATAGAGTCACAGATAGCAGAAGAGATAAAAGTTGACGGGTACGCGTGGAGCTCGTGGGGGAGCTGGAGTCCTTGCTCCAGGTCTTGTGGTGGTGGCGTGTCGGTTCAGGAGCGACAATGCTTGCCAAGGTATTGTTTTAGTTTTAATTAATGTAAATACATATGTCTGAGAAATATGAAGACTTTGTGTAATATAGCTGATATTATGCAAAGTGTGATTCTCCAATTTGAAATTGATTTACGATTATGATGAAAGTGTGAAACGTATATGCCTGAACTCATGATAGATGAACATTCAATATTCTAACATAAAATAGACAACTGATACTTCTTGATTTTTTATTGAAAAAAAGATTGTAGAAGAAGATGACTACTGCTCTTCAGGATATGTATATGTGTAAGGAATGATAACAGTATCACGTTGTCTGTTTGACTGGCTTCGTTCCATTTACCTTCCTCAATATTAATCAGACAAATCAGTAGAGAAATCAGTCAATATTTGTTCTAACTTATCGCTAAAAAGCATGACGTTTTAATAAGCTAGGGTTCACTCAGTCTTAATCCAGGGAATAATCCTACTGTGAATGTTCAATAGTTCCAAACAAAAACAAGGACTTAATGCAGTTAAGCAAAGATGTATTAATTAATTGTCCCTCGCAGCTTCTTGCAAAATACCTAAGACTTTTGATAAAATAATTTCGATGCATGTTTGATAAGAATCCGTTATGTATTGTATTGAAGAGTAGTCACAGACTGTGCAATGGGCAGTGTAGTATTGTTTTACAGTTTTTGTTATTTGAAATTAATTCATAATAATCAGTATTATCATTACTTCAGCCCTAGGACGACCACTGCTGAACATAGGCCTTCCTCAATGTGTTTTAATAAGACCGGTAGGCATTAGTGTAATTACTGTAATTTATTTTTAAAAGCAGCCATAGCTAATTATTTAGTATAATTAGAACCAAAAACACGTTTAAAGAATGTTAAATTACATTGCAATTAGCACTCTAAGTGTTAATTTATTCATTGTATTTTTAAAGTGATTATTGAATACTAAATTGATCCATTAGCGTGAATAAATTTAATCCAGTGGATCAGTTTTGGTATACCATGATTTTCTTTATAATTGGCACCTTAGAAGCAAGGCCCAATTAAGCATGTCGAGGCTTTTGGTCAATATTATCTTCGGGGCCCCTTTTCACCTATTTGAAGATTATCAGCTCTTTGTAAGTCGATGAGGGGTTGTGAATAATGGCATCAGCAGCAGCAAAAGTTTTATATTTGGGCTTCCTTCTTCTGCAAACTTCTTAAGATATAGGTTATAGATAAACTTGTTTGAAGTCCATACAGAGAGAGAATCAATTGCCCAATAAGCTTCTAGTTACCGCGATAATTCTGCATACAGCATGTCTACTACAGGCAAATATGTTTCAATCTTTAACTTATCTTTTCCTCTGGTCACAACTTCTTATGCAGATCCGTCATTATTAGGCCTTTATCTTACTTCGGTATCAGTGTATTCGGTATCAGTTTCCTTATTTGCTTTCATCTCGTAATGGCCAAATAATTCTTGCCGTGATAGCAAAAAAATCTATTGTCGTAAGTCTGTCCTCTTGCATTTTTTATATCAATGTCACAAGGCATATGGGACGGTTAGCACTGAAGCTTTGTGGGTGTTGGTGGGTTTGATTCCGGTCGATTTCAAGGTACAAAGACTTCAAAAAAGCCATGTACTGTTCAACTCTAGAAAACATGGAATTAAATTTTTACGAGGCTCATGAGATCACGATAAAATCACCAGATTGCTTCAACAGCAGTCCGATGTCTATAATGGCCTCATAGACGAGTGGCAGCAACGCTGGCACCAATTATGTAAGGGTCACCAGTTCTCATTTTTTAAATGTTCACGAACGGCTGTCGAGGACATGGCTTGAGGTGGATCACTGTGTCGCTCAATTTCTTACAGGCCATGGTAAGTTTAAGAACAAATTGTATTCATTTAAATTAGTCGGGTCACCATTGTGTCAATGCTCAACACCTGACTCTAACTGTGGACTGTCTGCTCATGATATCCTTTGGGAATGTAGTCTTTGGTGTAATGAACGTTGTATAATGATGAATAGCTTACAGGTGACATCTGGGGCGGTATCCTTTTTGGATCTTGTGACAACTAGGCTGAATTTCAGTGCGTTTATGCGATTCTACCATACATATTATAGAAATCAAATATAGCTCACTTAGGACCCATAATATGTTGCGGTCGTGATGCTTCCCTTTTGAAAAGAGTGTATGCCTATTTTACTTCATTTTGTCTTTTTATATATATATTTTTTATATTTCCGACTCATCCAATTTTCTTCTGATTAATTTCGTTGCGGGTTCCAAGACAATTCCAAATCCAGGGACTTCCCGAGTGTTATAACTCGGTGTGTTCCGGGGTCACTGCTGTTGATTCTGGTGTACAGGAGTTACAGTGGCGTGTTGGAGGGATTAGTCCCGTAAAATATAAATGTTACATTGATGTAAGAAAATTAAAATTGTAACGAAAAGTTCTTCCTTTTTATGACGTGCTATAGGAATAATTGTAAGTTCTGCTACGCATTCACGCTAATCGAGGAATATTTGACTTCAGCAATTCCTTAACCATTAATTTTTAAACCTTACTTCACAATATTTCAATAAGCTCTGCTACCATACGGTGTTACAAATATATGTTGCTTTGTACGCAAAGCAATATATACATATTTGTAACAACGTATGGTAGCAAAAACAAAAATTTTGAAATTTAGTTCTACTACACAATACTAGATGGTTCTGTGCTGTAAGTGTGAAGTATTTAATCACCAATACTACATATTGTCTTTGAGGATACAAATTTTTCAAATACAGTCTTCTAAGCAGGGCGCTTAGAACACTGACAAGAAATCGATTCGTATTAAAATTATCTCAGATTACGACAAATTTATGTTGTCTATGTCCTGTCTGTACATTTTTAATATTGTACCTACTTCAATTATTTGTAAGTAATCTTCTTAGAGCATGCTCGCATGATTTCGTCTTAACGAATTGTTCGATGAGTGGATAACAAATTGTTGAACAAGGCGTGCCGACAGCGCGCTTCGAGGCGTACTTAATATCTTATAATGTACTGCATATAAAATCAAAAATTGTAAACACCAACCTTTTATGCGCCTATTAAAGTAATTTTTTAAGAGCCTTGTTCACTTTCGAAGGAATATTTTAATAATGCAGTTGTTATATGACATATGAATAAAATCCGGCCCCTAAGGCTGACGTTAGAAATCATTACCTAAATTTATATTTTGTATTTATTTGATTGATACGAATTAAACATGACAATATCTCGGTAAATTTAACTTAAGAGAGATGTTCCGTTTCAAGGTCCAGTCAAGTTAAAAATGATCATACATTGTGATAACAGATAAAGCAACTAAGAGTTATATTCATTCCATTAGATATTGACTAGATTATAGGCGCGACAGTTTTTTTATTTGCACAAATACCCAATTACTTAATCAATGAGTAGAACGTTTCCGTCCACGACATCGGTGGCATTCGGCTGTCATTAATGATTACATCTTGTTCATTTGCGTTTATAAATCTGTTGACATATGCAATTTAGTAATCTGACGGCGTTTGATTCTGCCAGTTCACTGATCGTTATAATTTCATTAGTTGAAGGTTGTTGGTCTCACACCTGAATATATATACCTAGTCTTAAAGCGAGTTATGTTATGTTAGAGAGTTCGAACTTTCCAGCATCATCCAGTTTGAGTTACAAGTGTGTGACCCTGACCTGCTCTAGCTACTGCTCACATTCTCCAATCCATCCGACTTTTCTTTCCTTTTTCTACTTACCTTCTTTTTTTTTTTTTTTCAAAATTATGGAAGTAGGAATAAATTATAGTTGGTAGAATTTAGATAGTGTGTGATAGTTATAATACGCTTTTGTTTAACCCTACGGGGACTCCAAAAAACATTGAAAAGGAGTAAGGAAGAATATGTTTTTGCCCCAATTCCCAAACTGATGCAAACTCTATATATTATTATCATTAGTCTATTGCCGTCCACTGCTGATTTATATATTTTTACGTTATATAAATATGAGATAAATTTTGAATACATTTTTTTCATATTTAAACTTATTGCAAGGATAACAATAAACGCGGACATTACTTTAGTTTCAGTAGTAATATCGAAAACATGTATGCAGCTTGAAAACAAACATTCTCTTTACAAATATCAAATATTCGCCAAGTGTAAAGGCTTCTAAAGCGTGCGTTGGTCAAAGGTTAAACATGCCCTTGCGACCCGGCTCGTACGGTTTTTATCGACTAAATTAAGGTAATGGAAACCCCGTAGCGATGGTTGTAACAAGCTGTTATTGTAGTGAATGCATTGATTGCTTGCACTCGCCCGTCTTGATTGACACACATCAGCTTCGATACAGCCGGTAATGAGCTCGCGATTACCATCCACTTTACAAAGTAGACAAACTTTATTTTTGTTTACATATTTGTAGTTACATGTACTAATGAGGGATTGGTTTTTCAACATGTGTTAATTGACGTCACGGAGCTTAGACGTTGAATGCAGTAGTGTCTGGCCGGGCCGGTTCCCATGCGCGGCTTTGTACAACAGAGATAGTGGCGTGACTCGAACGGTGTGCTCGCACTGAACTGGTCACGGGTCACTATGACGGCATGAGCCATAGAATTCCATGAGAGTTTTACGTAGAAATTGTTAAGTTTGTTAAATTTAGATTAAAGTGTAAATACCTACTTTACATAACAGTAATCGACTCTATTCAGATGCATGCATACGGATGAATTCATCATTAAAACTCAAACTCAAATAGTTATCAAAGCTGTTCGCGGTTAACGGATCTGGCTATTTAAGTACAAATGAATGCGCGTGACTCGAGATAATTGTAATGAGACGAGGATTCAGGATTAATATGACCAGATACGGAGTCCTGTTAGATAGATAAGTAGGTAATCAAAATACCGTCACTCTTAATTAAAGTGGGTGCCGCCGGGCGGCGCCGAGCTTTAACGGTCGCAGCTGTGACTACATTAAATATTAGACTGTAGATTGAAGCGCTAGATTTGATGATAGCACTACGGTAATATTTTTTTTTATTTTTTTAGTATTTGGGGTTTAATTAACCTAATGCCCAAGTTATATTACTACTTTTTTTTATACCTACTTAAGAAGATGTTTATTATTTCATTCTCAAGCTGAAGTGTGATTAGGTTAAATATAAATCTGGTTAGGTAGGATATTGCCTCGCTTGTTCGTTTATCCTGAAGGTTAAGATATGTAGTATATTGTAGCGCACACACGCACATACACACACACACACACCCACATTACTCATAAGACACACACACACACACCCACATTACTCATAAGACACACACATACATGCACAACGCACACAACACACACAAGTCAGCACTCTGTCTAGAATATTCTCTCACTGTTCTTTTTAATTGTAATTTATTAGTATTTTATGTTTGTGCTTCAACTTTTATTTTAATACGTCAGAGGTGGTCCCATTGTTACCAGGTCAGGATCTGATGATGGGATCCTGGGGAAATCGAGGGAAACCCTCAAATTTTGTAGGCATATACACTGTTTATCAGAAATTATCTTAATCTATGTAGATTTTTGCATCTAATGGTCACCATCTGATGTTGCTGAGCTGATGATGAAGCTGATGATGAATGGTTTAGGAGTATGGGATCTCTGTAACAAAATTATGTAATACCATCGAATTTGAATGTGTTTGAGTCTAATTAATAAGGACTCCGATCCTATGTGATATTCAGGGTCTGATGATGGAGACGGTAAATAGCCATGGGAATTCTGTAATAAAATAAAGCAATTCCGCCGTGTTTGTGCTCATTTGATTCGTCTCGACTAGGAGCTTCATGCTAGTCGATTTTTAACCAACATCAAAAAAGGAGGGTTTTTGATTCGACAGTATGTTTTCTTTTTAACCGACTTCCAAAACACAAAAGAAGTATGTTTGTTCCGCGATTTCTCCGTCAATTGTGGACCGATTTTCAAAATTCTTTTTGTAATCGAAAGGGTATGCTCCCGAATTGGTCCCATTACCACCAATTCAGGATCTGATGATGGAATCCTAGAGAAATCGAGGGAAACCCCACAATTATTGGGAATTTGACAGCCCCGACAACGTGTTTTAGCTACGAGTATTTCTTTAGCCAAACAAACCATGGCAAACGTCAGAGACTGCGCGATGTGATGCTCAGAGAACTTGCAGTATTTATGTCCCCATAGTAATTAAGAAGAAAAGGTTGAAATTTTGTATTCTATCTTGTTAAAATAATTCGGATAGACGTTTAGTTGCTATGGATGGCATCGCATTTCGTTTGTAAGTAATTTTATACTTAATTTATTAAAATAGTTCTGGAAAAAACTCTTAAATTTTGTGTGGGTCAACTTTTTAAGGAGAGGCCTATGTCCAGCAGTAATTAAATATAATATTTAATATAATCTAACAAACTACAGTTTGTTACTATACATTACGGTACGTAGTGTTTTAAAAATCGTACTTATCTACTCATTACAAACATATCCTACACTAAAAATGGTAAAATAAACCCTTTTAAAAAAAAAGTTGAACCGACTTCAAACAACACCGACAAAGAGCACTAAAAATTAAAAAATAATTACAAATCTAAGTAAAAAACTATAATAAGTACCCTCAATGTAACAGGTAACATTATAATACCAATAGTCCCTTCTAGTCTGTTTGAAGTCGGTGCCAAGCTCGATGCACAATAAGTAAGACTGGTCTATGTCAGTTTTATATTAGCACAATGAAAAATTAAGAATTCAAAATAATTCTAATGAAACATCGAAGATTTTGTTAATTAATAAAGACCAACCAGATAAATTACGTGCGCAAATTTATCAACTACTTATTAAAGCATTCAAAATAATAATATAATTGGAGATGTGCGTCCACTTTAGCTCGTTCAACATGTTTTGCGCAGCATGAAGACTGTTATTCACATTTCTGTTGTGGCGAAAACTGGACTATTTTTTATTTAAATCAGAATTGCTTACGTTTTTAACATTAATTGGTTTCACTTGATTGTAGAAATTTAAATTGTTATATTTATTTTTAAGAACTGTTGTTAACCCTAACAAATAAAAAAATGTAACTGGAGTAATCGAAAACTGCAAAGTTAAATTGTAGAACACTAATTTTAACAACAAATGCTATTTAAGAATTCTGTATTTGCCATATTTAAACTACTTAGCCGAATTATTTATGCAACTTTTTTTATTAGAAATATGTTGTATAAACTAATATTCTAAAAGTGAAAGTTTTGATGGATAAATAGATGGATTTTGGTGCAGTCATGCCAGAAAAGCATAACGGAATTGGATTCCAATATTTGTGAAAAATAGTAATCTCTACTATAGTAGAGGTTACTATTTTTTAAACATATCGACATTAACAAAAATGAAGTTGCGAGGCAAAACTAATAAGTCATAAGCGCTATAAGGTTATTTAGTAAATTCATTATCAGATCCATCATTAATTCATCAGTTTCAGAAATCTCATGTTTTGATAATTGTCATTGCAGATAAACACTTACTTATTAATTCTTCAATCTATCTTTTACACAAACGTAAAAATAGAAATGTTAGGATATGTTATATAAATTCCTTCATTATGAAGACGCTGGACAGTGTACTGGCTAATAGTGCCTCGTAATATACTCGACAGATTAGGATAGACGGCATTTCTTATGATGCTCGTAACGCATACACATTTCATTAGGGCATTAAAAAATTGACGCCTATTTATTGCCAGAAATGATAATTACAGTAATTACGTTACTTTTAACTAAAGTATTATTTCTGAATTTCAAATCTATACATGATTATTTAATATTTCTTTGTATAGTAAATGCCTACCTACAAGTATATATAAGGATGTTTTAGTTAGGAGCTTTATAGTTTATAGGGTATTCTTGAGAATCATTAATATATAAATATAGTGAGTTCTGTTGTTATAGACAGCATCATTAACAAAATAGAAATAGTTTTACATACCTAGCTCCAAAGAGATTGTAGATGAATGATGATAAAGAAATGTCTTAATATGTTCTAAGAAAACTATATTTATTTTTATGGTGATATTTTTTTAAATATAAATCCTAAAAGCAAATATAATAACGAAACAAAATCTGGCAACTAACTATGTATATATATTATTTGACGGGAACGGTGATCTGATGATGGAGTCAGGAGACGGATTGTAGGACTTTTTAGTGCCTACTAGCACACACCTTGGAGTTTGATCTCAAATGATGCGTTTAGAATAGTCTAACAGATTAGACTTGTTACGGGTGGACTTTAATCTTTTATACACCTTAATTTAGTTGGTGTTTTAGTTTTTCTAAACTACAATTTTTACAAAGTAATCTTCATTGTCATCTGTTGATGGCGCCTTGAACCCTGTGATATTGTATTTATCTTTTAAAATAGCTGTAGATAAACTTAAGTACCGCGCGGAACTAATGTTTCACTTCGTGAACATGAATATTCAAATTAGTGGTTGAGTTTACATTAAATTAATGTCGGAGTCCTGTTACAAGGAGGGTACATTTGTAAGATACGCTTGTACTATTACGTGGAACGATAATCGAACGATACATCACAACTTTTTATTTTAATATAAATTAGATTTACATGTTTGAAGCTATTTGTTAGCGGCCCCGTTGATTTTATTATAGGAGCTTTGTGTTGACGCCGCGCTTACATTTTGTTCTATTTGCCTTATGAAATATTAACACAATTATAATTACGATTTATCTCTTTTAATTAATATTGACACATTGAGTTTTATTTATGTTAAGGCTTGGTAACTAGATCGGGACATAAATTGTACAGATAACATTCATAGAAATACCTACCTAAAGTTGCACACCGTCACCACACCACAACACACTTTTAATATTTTTAACATTCGTTTATCACAATAATTTATTTAGTTTTTTTTCTCACTTATTGTGACCCTAAGATTCTATAAATCACTCACCCCAATTTTTATGCAATCAAGCATACGGCCTGTCCTTTTAGAAAAAAGTTTTGGAATAAAAACCTTAGATATTTATGTGTATTGTTTCAGAACCAGATCACCAGTTGGTAATAGTAGTATTGCACAACCTGTAATAAAAGTACGTGTGACGAGACAGATTCAGGAAGATAACTGTCAGGGTGTTGACAAGAGATACCATGAGTGTAATAATATCGTAAGTTGTCTCTTTTTATCTTACTTGTATACAAAAACATATTATGTATGTGCAGTATATGTTTTTTATGGTGATAGTAAAGACACTTGCAACTCAAGAGTCACAATTGTGTCACCGCCCTTTGAATCCCTCCCCGTAAAATCTGGGAAGGGGAAGGGGGGCGGGGGGGTTGTATTACGGTAACCATCTGACTCATTCGTTGAAAAGCAATGAAAGAACTGCTTAACACCGGTTTTCTGTGAGGCCGTGGTATCAATACGGTCGAGCAAACCCTTGTGCCAAAGCATGACTCTCCCACGGTTACAAATACTAATACTAATAATAACTGAATACGTGAAGAGTTTTAGTAATTAATGATTTGATAAGTGACATACTTCGTGACAGACGGATGCTGGTAAATTTATCTAGTGACTTGTTAGTAGATACTAGTCAAAATGTTAGTAAAATATCGTGGGTGTGAAACATCTTAGTAGACATAAAGGTATCGCTTACGCGTTTCATGACTTATGTATGTACTTGCCTCAAACGGAGATTAGTGAGGAAGTTCGGTAAATCATGCTTACTCGATAACTAGCCAATCGCACGATTACTTATACAGTTTTATACAGTGACTTTTCTTTAATCTTTCTTTACACCATTCATTATTACTACCAGCAAGTTTGAAACAATAATAGACTTTTGTACCATTATTGCCTTTATGGTCCCTCTACTATGATATACTTTCTTCTATTATATGGTATTTAGGTAACGGATAATGGTGTGAAAATGAATGAAAAAAATATACTCTGTATTCTAAATGTGCATTAAGATGAGTTAACGTCTTGTCGTTAACTTTTATAATATTGGTAGATTTATTGCAGGTTTGTGGCAATTACGAAGGTTTCACGCGATACATGTTTTTGTTGAAATTGTCTTAACTTTATTTTTAGAAGTGCTTATTTACTTGTAAAAATAAGCGCTTAAAGCTTACAAATGGGGTAGAGTCGTGAGTCACTTATCTTCTTAAAACTGTAAAATAGTAAGGTTAGCACAATTTGAACACAATAGGTCGTATAAGTCATGCAAAGTAATGGTTCGAACTTTATAGCACTGTTGTAAAATGGTCGTTAATCAATGTATTATCTTAATCAAAAAGATAAAAGTACGAGTTTCTTACGTTAAGATTCAATTTAAAATGAGTAATGAATGTCAATAACTACTTCTATTGCAGGGGGTTTAAACGGGCTTTTAGTACTAATCTACTCAATCGGTCACGTTAAAACTGAATACTGATTTACGATGTTGTACCTCGTAAATGTTTCCTTGATTAGTATTGTTCCATTCAATTTGCCCGAGTCATGGACGGTATAAAAGTAAGCTTTATTGTGTTTGTTTATTGAGCTGTCTTATGAGTGCTATTGTTGTGTAGCTATATTTAATAATAGTCATACACTGCCACTTACCGCTATATGTTGCTATGTGAAAATGGATTCTATGGGTTTTAATGTATTTATTTATTATAATTAATATAAAAATTTGAAAGATAGTAGGAATGTATGTGTATTCTCTGAACTTTTCATATTTGAAGCTGAACTCAAATAAATGAAAGTTAGGGATTTGCTATAAATTAAATTTCGTAATTCAAACACATTCAAACTTTGGGTAATAAAAATGACAAATTATGAAATAATTTACAGACTTCTAAATTTTTATAATATTGCATAAAATACATGACGTTCGAGAGTTCGGATCAGATACTGGTACGGCTGGGAGTATGACCCGTTAGACCTAGTTATACCTTGTATATAAACTATAGTCTCGTTTATGGTAAGACCTTACTTATCAAAGCAAATCTGTTGGACTGGTCGACATGAGCAAAAAAACCCGAGGTGTTCAGTAGATCATAATCTGATCAACTGAAAGTTGCCATGTTTTTACTATTATCATACAATACAATAAAATCATACAGTTTGATTTCGATACGACAAATTTCATTTGCAAGATTTGTTATTTAGAATAGGCTTGGGAGACTTACTTCTCGACAGCCGATGATACGGTTTGGAGGGAAACTGTCTACGAAATATCTAATTCAACTTATTGATTAACAATAGTATAGTACATTGATTATGTAGATGAAGAAAAAGTATTGTAGTAAATAATAAATATTTGCCGAAGATTAAGTTTTTTTTTTGGAAACCATAAATTTATCTTCTTGTTGTTGCTGTGTTTTCATAAATTTTAATTTTGTAACAGCCATGCCCGAGCGGTTCGAGGAACACGAGAGCGGAGCAATGTTCGACGTACGACAGAAGACCGTTCCGAGGTAGATTTTATACGTGGGTCCCATACATAAACGGTAAGTTTCTTTTTATGTATTAATCTTTATACATATGATAATGATTTATTAGTTTTTAGTATAAATATAGTTTCTCTAAAGGAAAGAGAATAATAATAATACCACCACCTACCTAACCACCTGTGTCTTGATCCCTGCACCCGATGTCGGTGGGCTACTATTTTTTATATTTTTAAATGTATTTTTTTCTTTTGTAATAAAAGACAATGGCAGGTCCCCATCCATAATTTTATTTGAACTGAAATGTTCGCGTTTAAATATCAAAAAATCCTTAACACTTGAGAATTTATTCTTGACCATTCTCATATCAAAATTACTTGCGAAAGAAGTCTAGGAAAAAAGATATTGGATTTTGAATGTTTCGAGGTTAACCCTCTATATCATGATGTAGACTGTAAGCAACATAGCGTTCGACCTTCCACCAAATTCATACCATTAGTTTTTTTTACATTATATTGCACTGTATACCATAGTTTACAAACAGAAGTAACGAATAAGTACTAAAAAAATTCACTAGATGTCGTTACCTGTCACAAGTCGAAGTTTTTTCACATAGCTGTTAGTGGTTTGAATAAGTTCGCGCGTGCTCCGAATTGAAAAGTATTTAAAAAAAAGGTTTTCGTGTTTTTAGGGTTTATTTTGATAACATGGACAGGTAAGTGCATCAAATTTAATGTTTTACGTTATTCATAACAATTATTTTCATTATTTTGTTTTATTTTTGAAAATTTGTGTTTGTTGCTCGTAGGCTACATTGACGGATAGGGGTATTATTTTGTATTAGTTTGTGTGTACACACGGGCGTTATATCATGTTCCAGGGCAGCTCGTAAGCGGCCTCTTCGAACCCTTTTAGACGAGCATATTACCTCGGTGCTGCAGAATTGTGATGACAGTGAGGACGGTTTGGATTTTGACGATGACAGCCTCGCAGACCCAGATTTTGTACCTCAATTAGAATCATTTGAAGACAATACTGCCGAATTCGATATCGACGTGGATTCTATTATAGAAACCTTAGAAAATAATCATGAAAGCTCACCTCCATCACTTCAAAGCGCTGAAACGGCATCAAACGTTACCGTTCCTCAACCTTCATCAGCTCAGAGCAATCAATCAATCAATCAAACTACAAAGAAGCCCACCAAACCGAATTTACGCTGGAAGAAGAAGAGTCTACAGTTAAATGCCGAGCAGCTCAGGTTCAAGGGTAACAAGAACTTAGGTACTGAACTTCTAGAGCTAGAAACTCCTATTCAGTTTTTCTTTTACCTTTTTCCACAAGAACTTATTCAGATGATTTCAGAGGAGACCAATCTTTATCAAGTTCAGAATGATCCTAACAGCACTTTTCGTGTGACAGAAATGGATATCAGGCAGTTCATGGGTATGGTATATCTAATGTCTCTTATTCGATTACCTAGAGTTACTAACCACTGGAGTTCAATACTTGGTACAAAAATAATACAGGATACTATGTCATTGAATAAATTTGAGAAAATGCGCCAAACTTTACACTTCAATGACAACAGCAAAAACCTCCCTAGGAACGATCCTGAACATGATAGAATTTTCAAAATAAGACCACTGGTCGAGTCGATGAATGCAGCTTACAAGAAGGTCCCTTTGGAAGAACACCTTTGTGTGGACGAGCAAATGTGTTCCACTAAAGCACGGAATATGTTGAAGCGATACAACCCTCAAAAACCACACAAATGGGGCTACAAAGTCTACGTGTTGAGTGGCGTTTCTGGTTACGCCTATAAAACAGAAATTGAAACTGGCAAGGAAAACGTTGTGCTTCCAGAAGAGCCAGATTTGGGTGCATCATCCAACATCGTCGTGAGGTTAGCGCGCATGATTCCAAGGCACCAGAGTTACCAATTGTATTTTGACAATTATTTTACCTCTCTTCGTCTATTGGAATATTTGGCCAAAGAAGGCATTTACAGTCTTGGTACAATAAGACGAAATAGAATCCCGGATTGTAAGTTGCTACCAGAAAAGGTGATGTTGAAAAAACCCAGAGGTTATTCAGAAGAATACGTAGCTGACTTCAACGGCACCGATATATCTAATGTGGCATGGAAAGACAATAAAATTGTAACTCTGGCTTCTACTTTTGCTGGAATACAGCCTGAAACTGATGTTCGCAGATGGGACAAACAAAATTCCAGGTACGTGAATATAAAACGACCTAATGTTGTAGGAGAGTACAATCGCCACATGGGTGGTGTTGATCTAATCGACAGCATCATGGGGATTTACAAAATACAGTTGCGTAGCAAACGATGGCAAATACGTGTGTTCTACCATTACTTGGATCTCACAATGGCAAACGCATGGTTGCTTTATAAAAGAGTCTCTAGAGACAAAGACCTTTCATGTCGTTTATCGTCAGCAGATTTTCGTCTGGATGTTGCAGTAACTCTATGTAAATTGGGCATAAAGCCTAGTATGTCTAGTCGCCGTTCGCTGGAGAACGAGATACAAGCAAAAAAACATAAAGGACCTGCCCAGCATGCACCTCCAATGGCAGTACGGCAAGACCAGATTGGGCATTGGCCCCAATGGTCTGATAAAAAAATTAGGTGCAAGTTCCCAAAGTGTAATGGATTTACTCACAATATATGCGAAAAATGCGGGGTTGCGTTGTGCTATACTAAAACCAAGAACTGCTTCAAAAACTTCCACCTTTCATAACGTCCACCTATATATAGTTTTTAAGCTTATGACTCAGTGTTGCTCCCAGGCAACGCTCCCTGTTTTTCCATTTTTTTTGGAAAATAATTGAGTAAATGAAAAATTATGAAACACGTGTATTTTTATTTTTTGTTAAATAACCGTACACATTTTTTTTTTTTAAATCTATGTTCTTGAGTTATACTTGAGTACTAACATATTGTTAATGTTTTGTTTGAAACTAGATGGCGTTGTGTGTCAGATAGCTGAAAATATTATTTTCATTATTATTACAGTATACAAAAATAAAATAACAAACGTGGTGAGTCCGGAACTTGACAGGATCTAAACGACGACGTATCGACATTTTGAAAATATCGATGTATGTCTATTTATGTGCCGTTATCAATGACAATGTATTTTTCTCATCACACTGTGTAGTGGAAAATAACGTAACTATATTCTATTTCTTTAGTGTGTTTAAAATCGTTTAAAGAGAGTCAAAAATATTTTAAATCATTTCTAATTATGTTGATTCAGTCACTCTACCGTACGAGTGAAGACGTGGGCAGAAGCAAATTCATAATCATAATAATGAACCTTCGGTGAATATTTCAGCCAAAGCTATAAGAATCGATTATCGATAAAATGTTCCATAATAATAATATTGCCACCACGCATCCCTAGTCAGTTATACGTGATGGCGAATCTGACATTACGTACTTAGGTCAAATAAAATCTTCAAAAATATCTTATCTCTTATAAGACTTATACAACACATGGTGGTGTAATGATAAATCATAGAAAAAATATTGATTAAGTTTACTGTGACTCGATTTTTTAAACGCTTAAGTTTTAGGTAAATATGTTTCTGCCATTGTTCTTTAAACACGTAATCAATATGTATATATTATGTAATAAAGAAATTAAAAATAATAATTATAATAACTTCACACTTTACACACACGGCCGTCTGATTCCAAACTAGGCAGAGCATACATACATACATACTTACATATTTCTAAATACATAAATATTATAGATAAATTACATCCAGACACAGAACGAATCATCATGCTCATCACACAATTATTTGTCCTGGGTGGGAATCGAACCCACGACCTCCGGCTTAGCGGTCAGGATCACTAACCACTAGACTAACAGGCCCGCCACTAAAAAGTAAAACTTTACGCTGTTAGTTATTTTTTGTTTTTTAATTCGGTTTTGATTAATATTTACACCCACAAACCTGTGGGTATTTTATAAACTTACTTCTCTGTCAATAAACGTTTTAACTTTCTAAGAAATATTCTTTAAGTGTAATGTTGTAGCTACTTATTTTCTAGAGCAATTATCCTAGAAGTGCTGCTCAGAAATATTGCTCTAATTTGCGATTTGCATGACAGCTGTTGCTGCCCACGTAATGTTTTCTTCGAACCGCGGAAGTCTCATTCTAATCAATGGTTAGCTATTCATGTTCATTGACTGACGTTAACAATCAGGCAAATCGATCAGTCTACACGTCTATAGTCGCAAAAACTACTTATTAATAGATCATTTTTCATATTCCCCTATGTATGTATTATCAAAAATGGTTAGGTAAAGGGAGTAAGGAGTACTCCCCAAACCTACTATTAGGTTAATACTGTTAATTATTACTCATTAAGATATAGAGATATTTACTAATTAATTTTTATTTAAATAAATAAAATTGAAGTGTCTGTTTGTAATGTAAAAATTATAGGTTTTATTCCTGCTCTCGCGATTTTTTATTCTGTTTGTCTTTCTGTCTGTCTGTCTTTAAAATGGCTGGACTGATATTGATAATATTTTACTACTAGGCAGTTGTCTATATAAGGAGTAACTTAGGAATTTTTTTAACCGACTTCAAAAAGGAGGAGGTTATCAATTGTTTTTTTATGCATACATAACTCGGTCATATATGGACGGATTTTCAAATATTATTTTTATTCGAAAGAGGTTTATGCAGAAATGGTCCCAGCAAATCAACTGCCATTGCTGCTAGGTTTTTTGTTTTCTTTGTTAGTATTGTAGTCGGTTCAACTTTTTTTTATAAAAGGCTTTAGCCTCTCAGAAAAATCTTATAAAATTTTGAACCCGAGGCCTCAAGTACCGTACTACACCACTAAGGCAGCGCAGGGCCGCCGCTAGCTGTTGGAGCCGCCCTTTTTTCTGAGCGGAAATTGCCCTTCGGATAGCCGGATATGAATTTCAATTCCGATCATGTTATTTTTTATCCTAATTTCAATAAGTTTAGAAATCATATTACTTAATTTCGATACAATTATACCGCGGCATGTCGTGGCATGCCGCAGGACACCGTAGCATGTCGTATCACGCGGTTTCATTGTACAGATTATCATGGCACCATATCCCGCCAGTTACATAGGTCGCAGGAGTATAGTCCCCCTCCCTTGGAGTCAAGGGCGGGACACAGTCAATCAGTTTCATCTGCGCGGATACAAAGTTGGTTACGTCGTTCTGATGGACTGGGATTTAGTATTATTAGCAGTTCTTTCTGAAGATGAAGAGAGACAAACACAAACTGATATATTAGAGCAAAAACGATTCTGGGTACATAATTTGTGGAGAACACGAGGGACACTCAGTGTGAGTGCGCGTGCTTCCTCCTTTGCTCACGCGCCCAGCCCAGGCTGCACCCATTTGCCGACTACACCGCCATATCCGGCTTAAACCTTTTTCAATTAGTTTGGCGGTCATATGCCAAGACGTGGCGCGTGTAATTGTATCAAAAAAGTAAAATCTTTTATATAAAATTCTCGTGTCACAATGTTCGTTCCCGTACTCCTCCGAAACGGCTTGACCGATTCTCATGAAATTTTGTGTGCACATCGGGTAGGTCTGAGAATCGGAGTACATCTATTTTTCATACCCCTAAATGGTAAGGGTGACCCATCCCTAATTTTTTTTTGTTTTGCAATACAACGTTTGCCGGGTCAGCTAGTTATAGATAAAAAGAACTTAATCAGAAATAAAATCCTTTACCAAGCCATACCGTGTCGTGACATGAGTTATGGCCCGCCCTATTGAGTGGCGGGGCTGTCTGCGAGATGCAACGACGTGACGAAGTATGCTTTAGCATGCTGCTTCATACCAAAGCATCCTTCGGCTGCCGAATCACTCATTGCCGTGCCTTGCTTTGCCGCGACGATAGTCAGTCAACCACATGTAACTTAGAAAGGAAATCCCTGATACCCTGACAGGGCCCGAGTCATTTACGGCTTACGGTCTCCTGATATGTAGCGACCAAGGTTTCCTCACTCACGTCACTTCCTGGCCCGGCGCTTATGAAGGACGGAGATCATTGTGCGACCACTAGTGCTTAAGCCGCGTGCAGTACGTGGACCGTTCCCGAGCCTGGTGAGCTTGGAGAGGGTTCTAAAAGGAGTTAGTCGCTCCGTACCAAGGTCGCAATCAGTCACGAAATCATGCCTTTGCTCCATACACGCTGGACATTTTGGCAGCGTGTAAAGTATGACCACGCTCTGGCCATCGTAGTGGCAGCACCTGGGTACTAGCTCTTTGCGGATCACATAAAGGTGACCTCCAAAGCATCCTTTGCGTCAGCCAATAACAGAGGGTCCTATCGTGCTAATCCGTCTTATTGTTGCATTTATTTTTGTTCACCGATTAATAGATGTTACTATGATGAGATAAAAATACATTAGACATGCAAATTATAAAAAACTTTCGTTTTCGTTTCGATTTCTGTTTTTGCCACCCCTTGAAAATTCCGCTCCTGTGCGGCAAACGCTTATCAAACTTTACTCGAACGAAGTCACCCGTACCAGGTAGTTCATACAATATAAGCTTACAGTAAAAAAGAAATATATTATAATTCAAATAAAATATTTACAACATTTAAACTACATACAAGCATCAAAAAACTCCTCCGCATCAGCGCCGGGCATGTATGGCGTCGGCGTTGCAAGATACTTCAGAATCAACCAGTGTATTTATTAGAATTTTCCTGGTTAACTCTTCTGTGCCATAGCACGAACAAAAAAATGCTGGAAGGCTGAAATCTACAATTTTGCGTACTCCAAGACCACCCGAACGAGCTGGTAAGAATGCTTGGAGTCTGGTTCGATCATTTAAAGATTCATTCAAAACTTTATTGAGAGTATTTGAATAATTTTGTCAACTTTTTCTAAAAGCGATAAATGTTTCTAAAATATAAATGACCGAAGTGCATGTGTACATTTAGGAACAAAAAGACAAAAACTGAGTATATTAAAAGCCGAATGGACATTAATTTTAAGTAAAGTTTTTAATTGTGTCCTCTATAAAAGGTTGTAAACCATCTTCCAAGACCGGAGACCCAAGAAGGCGAAGAGCCAGTTTTTCTAAAACTTTATTGTTGGGTGCTAATTAATTGAATTTTTGTACAGTCAAGAGTCTGCCCAAAATGTCGTGTTATCACCAGATTTGAAAAGAGAGGCAAGCAGATCATGAAAGACTGGCCCAGCGTGTATAATATGTCATAAACTACACATCGATTTTTGTTAAAGTAAAAAACTTGGATGCAAAATTACTATCAAATACATTTTAGAATTCTCAATACGACATGGGTTTAAGGAATTAGAGACTTTGAGACAAAACAAAAACATCGTAACGGTGTTAACAACGGCTCACTGTTGGTAATCATAATTAATTTACTCATAATGTTAATCATTTTCAAGCATATGGTAATACGTTCAGTCGTAAATCGTATTTCTCCCAATCAATATAATAATTGCGTTAGCCCCTATAACGTCACAAGTCGAACACCGTAAATGCATATTTATTTATTTGGCAATTTTCATTAGTGCTGCAATTGCTATGGGACTTCAGGTCTAATGTAATGTTAGTTATGTATTGCTTGAAAACATTATAACATTAAAAGTTAATAGTATTTATTAATTTCCTTTTATGATTTTACTCCTTAGATGTTACATTTTTTTTTGTTTTATGCATGTGATTCAAAAATAGGGGCAATAAAGCTATCATCAACTTATAAAGTGCTTTAAGCACTTACAAATGCTCGGTGTCACTTCTGACAAAAAAACAAAACAATATTATTAGTATGTCGACAGCTAATCTAACTTATTACAACGCTTGTCTGCGCATTTGACACGCCTGTTTTGCTAATTTGTTCTCCTCAATAATCTGTCAGAATTGTTCCTCGTTCGATGCAACAAGGATAAAATTGAATTGTATACGACCGCCCATAAATTTTAACTCTTCTTTATGTGTTTGATTTGGGCATCTTTACACGTTAAACGTATATAGAAAGTTTATTTTTACGATCTAGGATCCGAATTTGTACTGACATAATGGCTTTGTAGTATGATCAGAAAGAGAAATAAATGAATTTATGCACTAAAATATCAACTTATACTACAGTGACTCTAAATTTTGTATTGATCCATTTCGATCATTCACATCAGTTCAGGCATCATGGTATTATTGTGAAAAAAAAATTTTTGTTGGTTAACAGGCAATTCCCCATGCATGTTGAACTGTCGTCCCCTTGGTCATCATTTCTACGCGTCGCTGGGGCTAGTAGCCGATGGTACTCCTTGCACGCGACAGGGATCACGCGCCATTTGTGTACAAGGTACTTGCAAGGTAAGAATATATCTCTTTTAATTAATTAACATTAACCTAAAGCGAGCGAGAGAGCCTGTCTCATATCCCAAAATCCTTTCTTAGACATAGCAGTTACATTTGCCCTTGATAAAGAAGCTGCAACACTCAGTGGCAGGACGCACTGTTATTTAAGAGACGGCGCCTCTATCCGGCAGAGCATCGTACTCACATGACTATTTTCTGCGAGATACTTTTTTTATTTGTTTGTTTTTATTATTTGTAAAACAAGTCATTAAAATGGTGGTTTCATAATGATGCCGTGGTCGTTACTGAGCAAAAGCTTCAGATCTAATGTTAGATTTACCTTAAAGTCTAACGATAATTGAACCCCCATGATGAGTCTAATGAAAGCGATCAAATACTCAAATCAAGGAAAGTGGTTCAAACTCGCCTATAAAGCCATTTATTTTAAGTATTACATGTTTAAGTTTTAATTTTTTTTTAATTTTAATATATTGCTTTTGTTCGTCGTCGCAGTAGGGACGAATTTAATTTCGAAACTAATAATATAGACTTCCGGGGTAAAATGTGAAAGGTTTATTTTATTCGCTATACACACTTGATGGTCTTAAAATATGACAACACCTTTCCGTAACACTTTATAGTAGGAGACTATAAACACGTGTCTACACATTGCATTGCGGTACATACAGATATAAATGTCAATTGAATTGAAGTAGGTTAAAGGCTTTTCTGCATGTGCATCACAATGACCTAATTTAGTCTATAAGCATAGCCAAGCGCGATATTTATTATATACAAAGTAGCATTTTCTCGCGGCTATGTTGACGTATGAGAATTTTTCCATCCTTCGGGAACATTTTTTTCAGCCGACTGCGCAAAGAGGGTCATGTTTTTCGAGTATATATGTATATATGTATATTTCTTTAGGACGCTCGCTCGCACGCACAAAATACTCAAAATGATTTAAAATATAATTAAATTTGTAAAAAACCAAAAACCCGACTAGTGGTCATAGTAGTCGGGTTTGGTTTTTTTTCAAATAATTAACTTGTTTATTCTCAGTAGTGATCTGAGGTAAACGAACTCGCTGACAAATTGGAACAGCGAGAGTTCCCCAGTCCTGGATAGACCGGTTCTGTTTACGAGAATGACTTTGCTCTTCAACTTATTAATTGAGTTGAGATTGAGAGACTTCACTCTAAAAACCAAAACCTAAACCTCCTTTCTAATGAGAGGCCTATGTCCAGGCAGTGGACTATTATAGGCTGTTGATGATGATGATGAACTCTAAAAACTCAGTGTTATCATATCTCAAGTTGATGACCTTAAATACACCAAAACTAAACCACCAATATTTTTTTACTCATAATGACGTATACTGCTTGTGTTTAACCGTAGATATAAAGTCATTGATGTGTAAGCTTTATCTTCGCAGCAGTGCTGTAAGGTGAATAATAAGAAGCTAAACTATCGATGCTTAAGTAAGTTTCTAATAGTAACGACCGTCGGCCGTTCAAGTATTATGTTGGAAAACTTTTATTGATTCATACACCGTCTTTTCTCCTTAAAATGTAGTTTAAATAAAGACGTAAGATTTTTTTATAATATGTAAGTCTAATAACTTGTTGATCAAATAGTACGAAGAACAAAGTTTTTTTACCCCCGACGAAAAAAGAGGGGTGTTATAAGTTTAATGTGTCTGTATGCTGCATCATAGCTCCTAAACGAATGAACCGATTAAGATGCGGTCTTTTCGTTTGAAAGCTGACGTGATCAAGATCACGCTTTTAGCCCCTTTTATTTTATTCAATTTTTTTTCTGACTGAAGGAATCACAACCAGTATAGAAAATATCATACTGCCTCAGTAGTATAGTGGCAGCATATGCGACGGCTGTTACAGAGGTCTTGCGTTAGATTCCCTGACCAAATGTTTGTATGCTCTACAATTATTTGTATCGGAGTTTAGGTGTCAAAGTACCTACAAGCTCTGCTTAGTTTGAAACTAAATGATGTTGTGTGTCAGATGTTAGAAATTATTATTATATTACTATTAGATATTGTGATGGACACAATCATTTCCAACCACATTGGACATGATCGACATAATACTCTTCTTAGCATCACACGTAGTGAATTGACTTAAGGCGAATAGTAGATAGCTAGAGATTGGCAAAGCTAAAAGATTATTTGTTGAGTATGCTTTTATAGTTACTTGTATAGATTACATGCATACATACATAAACACACGCCATTATCCTTTTGGGTCAGCAGAGACAACAATCAGCTTACCGCTTCTCTCTTTACATGCTTCAATACATTGTCTTGAGCTTTCTATAGGGTCACTGGTTTCGGGTACTTTTGACTCGCTTTTTCTTCAAAACATCACTGATCTGATACATTTACGTTATTAAGAGTATATTAGTAACTAAAATATTTAATAATTATCAACAGCCTTTCAAAGTCCCCTGCTGGATGTAGGCCTCTACTTAGGAAGAAGGTTTTGGCCTACTATACCACGCTGGCCAGACGGGTTTTTACCGGGTTTGTTTCAAGTTTCACACCTACGGGATGAATAGGGGTGGTGATCCTCTGTATTCTTAATCCATCACCACAGTGACAAATATTAAAACTACCCTAATATTGGTCAAATTATTTATATGACCTCATTACTTTTACTTTTAAATGTAGCATCAAACGTTCAAAATAATATAAAAAACTCTATAATCTCTGTAATCCTTGTAAAGCTTGTGTAGTGAAAAAACGTCCGTGGTCCGTTATCGGTGCACCTTGAGGAATCAAAGGAGTGAAATGGCAGTTGTTAATGTCTAAATCTATTCGTATAGATCATTTTTACTCTTTAACATAAAATAAGTCCATCTATTCAGCTTAGCTTGCTATTTTGTAGTCTTCGAACTTTCATTAATGTAAATAAGTGAAGCAGCAATTTTGCCGCATCAGCAGGCAGACCACGTCTCTATGGAACGTATACTTAGCTAGTTTGAGTCAAACATTCTATTCCCTATACAGCTATCTATTTAATCTATTAGATCCTGTTCTCCGTATTCAAGAAAAGTATTTTTGACGATCGTGTCTTAAAACAGACTAAGGCCAGGGTTAGACTAAACATAATTGGAACTATATTTTAATAACGTCATTTGAGAGCTGTATTTAGTTTGTTCTTTTCCAGTTTGTTTGATGTTAGGTATGTTTTAAAAAATGGACTTTGGTTACCTACGTTCGTAAAAGTGCCATTTAGTGGAATGACAAATTTTGGACTATGGAACTATTGGCGAAGATTTTATGTTCAATATACACACACGGCATTATTGGCGCATGTAATAAAGCTAGATGAATTGTCTATTGAGTATTGAGTGAACGCAAACCGTCTGCTCCACTGCTCTATAAACTATTCAATCGTTGCAACATTGTGGGGCGCAAGGACACGGGCGCTGTAATCGTAAATTATTTAGTGTATTGTTTATTACGTGGTAATGATTCCTGTGACTGTTGACGTATTTTATGATCATAGTACCTTGACCTTCTATTGTTACTATGCTGATGCTATTTAGAATATTTCCTTTCCATTAAATATTTTTACAAGATGAGGATTACAGTATATAGAGAAAATAGTTGAGAGGCGAAATGATTTTACATACATTTTATAGATTTCTGCCTTATATTACTGTGTGTGTGTATGTGTGTGTGTCTTCATTTGAACAGAGTAAACTAAGATAATATATCTATATAGTAAATCAGTGGATTTGTAAACATTGTTCTATTACGTCAGTTACGATAATGAACAAAAACAAACGACAGACTATTATGTGTTCGACATTGGCTGTACGAACATTCACAATGAGATCTTTATTTCCTTTATTTTTAACCGATTTCTGAACCAGGTTCGCAATTTGTCGGATTTCTTGTTAATACAAATGAAATGAAACATATGCTTTATTTAAATAAGCCTAGACTTACTACTACTACCTACTTTGTTATTTCTAGGTCTGAAAAAGTATACTTTCTTATCGGTCCCTTGGTATTCAATAATAGGTATTTTAAATAGGATTGTGTTTTTTTTTTGTAACTCGTGTGTTTGCTCTTGAAAAGCTCCATTTGCTGAAGTAAAACTCATGATCATGAAATCATTATCAGTTTCATTTTATAGTATTTTAGGGATTTTGAATTTGTGATTGGATATTTCGTAAACAGTGATTAGCGATTGACATTAGATTACTGTTGATAAATTTCATGTCTTAGCCTTAAAAGTTAAGAGACTAAGAACACAACTAGCAACATCTTTGAAAATAAAATTATTGCGAATTTGTAAACACTTTAAAATTACTATTTTTTCCTTTAAAACCCTATTTTATTCATATATTGTACTCGTTCAGTTACACATAAATTGTTTTCTCCTTATTAATACTTAGACAGTAGATACACAAATATTTTATACTTGAACAGTCTGTCCTATATAGAACTTAAGGAATGTCATTCCTTACAATATATTACCAATAAAATTAATGATCTTCAGATTAAAGACAGAATTTTCTCAGACATAAAATTTGCGGGTTTTAAAGTAGTACCTCTACGGGAAACTGGTGTCGATTACCACGTGACAAACGCGCCGCAGACGTTATGACCAGCACAAAGGCACAAAGCCATAAAATATATAAGGTCTGCATATAAATTCTATTATCACTTCCAAAAGCGTTATATGAACTTAACTATGACTGAAGTAGTTTTGTACCGCGTAGTATCTATCAAGTAGAGCTCTCGAAGTAAAGCTGACTTAAAAAGTTACTTTTCTGCATAGTACGAATACCCAACCTATGGCAAATATATCGAAGTACACGAAAAACTACCCACAATACCAGTAGCATGCACTCTATTACAATATCCTCTCTCCGATGTGGTCCTTGTAACGCAACATTAGAACAGATAAAAGCTTTTGAGTGGCATATTATTTTAACTTGTCTTTTATATTTACATACGAGTATATAAAAATTACCTACAAAACCGTACCGACTTAAAAATTAGAAATGTTTAACTATTTTCATCCAAATTTAAAGAGGTAAAACAGAAGTGAACCAAATTAAATAGGTTTGGGCAAAATTTCTCTACCCAATCTAATCTAATCTTCATATGTGTATTTTCACCTCCACGCAGTCATGTTTTTGTAAGAGAAAAATATTTCTAAATTGTCTTCGTGTTCTTGCTATTTATTGTTACTAAAACCTTCTCATCAACAACCTTTAATAGTTCACTGCTCGACATACGCCTATGTCGAGCCGTGAACTATTAAAGGTTGTTTTTGAAAATTGTAAAGTGAACTTGAAAAAGAGGCTTTGGCTCTCTATACTACGCTGGCCAGACCGGTTGGCATAGAGTTTGTGTCAAGTTTAATTCTCTCTGCAGTACTGTCTTTCTGCATAGTTTACTCCCTTAGTCGGCTCTTACGATACTCACAGAATGAATAAGGGTGGTGACGTTCCGTATTCTTAATCCGTTACCACACGGAATAATCCGTCACAACACTGAAACTTTACCACTGGTGTCTTAAATTATTAGAGCCATTATTAGAGCGACACAAACAGGAGCTGCATGTCACGGAGATGAATATGTGTGTGATGGTGGAGTCACGCAGGAGGACTGTGTAAGGAACTCTCGTATTCGTGGTAGCCTTCATGTCCGTACATTGTGAATAAGTCGCAAGAGTGTCACCTCCGGTAGTTTGGTCAAGTTTTGCCAAAACGTTTGTTACATAAAGAACAAATGTCTGGCCATGCCGCCTCCGCCAGGCCCCGGTAGGAGGGGAAGACCCAGGAAGGGCTAGCTTGACGTCGTAAGGGACGCCGAAGACCGTGCGAAGTGGAGGAGAATGAGTCGGAAAGCGGACCCCGGACGTCACCGGACGCAAACGGGGTTTACGCTCAGATGATGATGACTCTATCCTTATCTCTCCTTTTGGGTGTCACACTAAGTCTTTAGCTCTATTTAAATATATCCGCATAAAGCGATTAAGTAATTTTGCAATTATAACAATTATAACTAATAGAGATATTGGCAAAGATTTGCATTTGATTATATTATTCTAAAGAAATCAAATTATTATTACTGGTGTCGTAAAATTCTTCTAAAGTTCTCTTACTTAGAAGATAGGTTTCGCATATTTTATATACACCATATTCGAAACCTTATATTTAGTTTTTATAAAGACAGTACATAAATTGATTATGACAATACAAAAAGCTAAGTAGGTACGTGAGTGTTGCGTTGCGGCTATAATGTGTGAATAATAAAGAGTTGTTTCTCCGGCTCCACAGCTGAACTTCGATTTTTTACGTGGAGCGACTGCCATTAACGAGGACCTTCACATCTCAAGTACTAGGCGATATGGAAGCTGTGTAGAAAATCTTTTCACTTTCACTCGGCGCATTCGGACCATTTTTAGGTCCCACAACCAATACCAATACCCGTAACGATTGTCACAGAATGACGTTCGTATGGCAACCGGGACCGACGACTTAACCTGCTTTCCGAGTCACGGAGGGGTCACAATGTGTAGGGGTACAATTTTCTAAAACAACGTTTTTCGCATAATATGAATGTTTTTTAAAGCATATTGTAGATTACATAATAAACAGAATAGTGTACTTTTAGCTTATAGCTGAGTAAATGCCATTTAGTATTTTTTGTTAACCGTGTCATAAGTCTGTGCAAGTAAAACTAACATAATATTAGGTCCTTACATATGAAATTGGCGTTTTGTACGGGTGGAATATAAAGTCTTTTTTTTTTGTAAAATTTATTTAGTAATCAAAGTATGCACCATTTTTATATACGCACTTTTGAGATCTCATAGATAGTTCATTGATCCCTTTACTAAAAAAGCCATGGGGGCGTGAATCAATAAACTCTTTGAAGGCTTGTTTGGTTTAGTTTGGTTTGGACTGCTGCATCGGAGTTGTTTTTTTTCCTTCTAAGAAGTTGTTCAAACTACGGACAAAATGGTAATCTGTTGGAGCAAGGTCCGGGGAGTACGGTGGATGTAGCAGATATTCTAATTGCTAATTCAATCAAATCAAAAATCAAAAAGTGAGTCAATTTTCGTTTAAGGCAGGTGGAGACCGTAGGACAGGTGGGTTCAGCCATTGCGACGAGCGCTTGCGATTATCGTACAGTATTCACTTTTTATCACAAGTAATGATTCGATTTAAAATCCCTTTATTATTGTGTCGGTTGAGCAAAGTAACACAGCAGTTGACGCGTGTTTGCAAGTTCGATTCACTCAATTCATGAGGTACCCATCGTTCAAGTTTTTTTACTTTCCCGATTTGCTTCAAGTGGATTAATACAGTTTTATCACTTACCCCGAAGCCTGCAGCTATCTCTGAAGTGTTTTGTGATGAATTCGCTTCCACAATGGCCTTTAATTCTTCATTTTCCACTTTGGTCTCCGGCCGTCTATGGGGTTGGTTCTGAAGGTCGACAGTTTGCGACACCAGCGCCGTACACATCATTAATCATTCGAGCTGTTTCTGCAGCACTGGTGCCACGGTAGAACTCGTACTCGTAAATATACCGATATTTCATGTTTAAAGAATAATGAGGAAAAAACAAATGAATGCAATCAATCATTTTTTCAAACCTGAAATGTACCAGCTAAATGAATTTATAAATTTGAATTTGGAATTCTTAACCAAAGTGGTCAGTACGACAAAACGCTAATTTCATATGTAAGGACTTAGGTCCATTTTAAATCCATTATTAATTTATTTATTTGTAATCCATTTTTTTTTCATTTGACGAGAATCATTATGCCATCATGAAGGGAATTGTCTCTTATATTTCGCAAGCAGATTCATTCTTGACATTTTCTGGAAATACTATCGTACTAATTCTTCGGTAGTTTTTCTTTGGAGATAAGAGTGGAATAGATTCTATTATTTTTTTATCCGATAATATTTTCATTATCATATGTAAATGATGAAATTAACGTCTCTTTTTGCTGAAATTACCACAGTTAAAACATTTGTTCTGCTTGACTGCTTCGGTGGCGCAGTAGGTAGCGTATGCGACTGCTGCGCTGAGGTCTCGGGTTCGATTCCCGGATCGGGCCAAATGTTTGTTTGATCTGCCAATATTTGTTTCGGAGTATGGGTGTTTACCATGTCTTATATGTATGTATTTACAAAAAAGTATATAAATATTCTATTAGTCAATCTCGCTTTTATAGTACAAGCTCCGATTAGTTTGAAACTAGATGGCGTTGTGTGTTAGATATCCGAAATATTTATTATTATTCTCTTTATTTACTTTATATACATATTATTTACATTTTTAAACATGCACTTCATAAAATTATTAATATTATTATTATTATTTCATTATTATTATTCTATTTGTTATTTTAGAAAGAAAAAAAATATTGCTAAAGTTGGCAGCATGTATTTTATGATGACTAATGTACTTATACAATTTATAGTTTTAGACAGTCAGATCGCACAACACAAACAGAGACTAAATTGAAATATCCAACTTTGACTCTGTCGGTTAATTAAGGTCTCTCTACGTCTTGAAAGGTCTTAAAGCAAGATTATTACGTGTACCTAAAGATTTTTTTGTGAAGTTTAGTGTAGTTTAGAGAATATTGCACCAACTTGAACATATCTCTTTCTTCGTTTGATTTCTTATGCAACAACACAAAATTACACGCGACCAAGAAGACCTACGTCTTCTCGTTCTTTATTTCCAGTAGTTCTACCTCTCATTTGTCTCATAGTGCAGGACAAGTAATAATTTTAACTATTTACAATGCTTTTTTTGAGCTCCGCTCAAGTGTTCTTTATCTTTTTTTTTTATTTGTTGACTTGTATTCTGTAGACATTTTAACATACCTATAGTTTTTTCACGAATAGAAACTTCTGGACAACATACATATCGAATTATTTTAGCTAAACGCAACAAAAAATAATACACCTAAGGTCAGATTGAGAGCAGTTATAATTATGAGAGTTATGATTTTGGGTGATACGCAAAATCGGTATTAAACATTCACCGCATAAAACATTTAAATAGTATTTTTGTTCGTAGACCTAACTTTTAATGTTTTTTAGCCTCTTTTTTGTTTTATTACTAAGTCAGGTTGTATCAGTACTGACATACATATACAGGTATTTCAAGAACATTCTAGTGAGTGACGGCAACGGCGCCAGCTGGTATGCGCGAGATCAGTGATTAAAGCCACCCACCGCCCCAGGCATCGAGACACTGTTCCTATTTCGATATGCCAACCATTTTAATGTACACATTAAATCCATACAATACATATAAAATTACTTGCCTAAACCGCTATAACAACAAACTTGAATTTTGGCAGCTACCAAAATGTAAGCATCAACCAATTTTTGGAAATTTTACCCCTTAAGAGGTAAAACAAGGAATGAACGGTTGCATGGAAGTTCGTCATTTTCAAAGTTAGGAACACGAAATAAAAAATAATCACTCTGGTGAAATTGCGGAAAATGGCTAGTTTTCAATACAATAGGAAATTTTAAAAATCCTATCAAAATCTTTAAAACTCTAACTACAACTTAATTCATAGCGTTTCAAAAGTATATGTTCCAAATATGTAGAGTGTTACACATATTTTAAAACAAAATAAATTGACACCACTAACGGTGGACAAGTCGAAATGAATGAAATCCCCAAAATCACATGTTCTTGTTCATGTGCTTATTAGAAATGAATTATGTCTGAAATATTTATAAACATTACCTCGGTTTAGTTTCATCCCACGGGGTATGTCTCGTTATTACAGGGGTCTGACCTGAGCATAAGTTATTTGGCGTAACGTAAGATACTGAGATACCACTCAATAGACTTCGTAGAACTTCGAGAGTATCACCAAAAAATATATTCTTAGTCAAGGCTTATTCTTGTTTTGTTTATTTTTATTTAAAAAAATCCTACCACTTTTCATTATAAAAACAGCCAAATTTCTACAGCTATCTACAAAATTATTTATGACCATAGTAAATGTACCATAACTATGACGTATATTGGCTAACTTTGGTATGAGCAATAACAACAATAGTCTTCCGGATGGCTGCATTCAGCGCTTGAAATTAATAATGTTTGCGATAATGCTGTTATTTATAGTAATACAGATAAAAGCTTTACAAAACTACTACAAATAGATTACTGCGGATATAACGAACTATTGATACACCTACACATAAACAAACGCAATACGAATTTATAAAATAGGCAAATCAGCTACAAGTGTGTTAAGAAATTTACATTCTAACGTTTCTTATGTAGAAAGCGCAGAAATGATTTGTAACATGATACGATTACTGCTCAGGAAAACGCTGTAGGCTAATTGGGCCAACGAGTCATTACTTTGACACCCAGTAACTGATAAATAACAACGCTTCTATAGGATACTCTTTAATTATTATAGGTGGTAGTACTTGCCCGTCAATCATACTAAGCTTCAACTGGCAGGTAACCTCTTTTATAGATATTAAATTGCACGGTTTTGGCGTACTATACCACGCTGGCCAGACGGGTTGGTATAGGGTTTGTTTCAAGTTTTCCTTAAATTTTTAGTGTCATTGTCCTATGTAGTTTGCTCCCTTAGTCGGCTCTTACGACACCCACGGGATGAATATGGGTGGTGACACTTTGTATTTTTAATCCATCACTGTTATGAGCTTAGATGCGAGAAAAGTAAATAAATTCCAGTGACAGTTGTATTTCACCTTTAGATATACTTATATTAAATTTATTTTTTATTTACGTCTTTTGATTGTACACCGCTACAGTATTTATTTGTACTGATATTATATACATTTCGCGGTTTTATTGGTCACGGCGATCAGTTACAGACAACCTTTATACGAATATTGTCAAATCTGATTTAGAGTAGTTTGTAATATATTTGACTAGTGACTGTTTCTATATCTAATTTTGTTATATGAAACTAAAAATTAGAGTACAATATTTTAAAAATAATTACTTTTATTACTTAAATTAAATACAATCGTTTTATCTGCAGTATAGGTTTATATATAAACCTATTCAAATAAATAAACGACTATAACTATTCGATATGATTTTACTAACCCAGAAACTATGTCAATGACTGAATTAACAATTTTATAGTCAACTAAAAATAGCAAAATAATGTATTATTCTGTTACGAGTACAGTTCCCAATACCTATTATTGCCGATTTATTATTTTCTTTGTACATGCGATTACTTATGGCATGAGTCAATCTTCAATAACGGAACTGTGTCGATGTAGGCGGTAAATACAAGAAGATTATATGAACAATTTTAGTCAATACCCATTTATTGATCTTAGACATCTAATGCTATGGGTCAGACAGCATGTGTCACCATGCTATGTGATGGCAAATGTATCAAAATAAAATTAATATATAAATGTATATTCAATAAAAAATAATCTTGACTTTTTTTAAAGATTTGAATGTCATATTTTTAATAGTGCTATATTTTTCGTTGGCTTTCATAAGCTATCCTTTTATTCTCATTATTTCCATAAAATAATTTCAATATTCACATCTGCCAGACGTCATGCGAAGTCTTTCATTTTTCTATAAATTATCAAAGCAGCTATCTAAGTCACCACAGTTTTGTTTCCGAAATTATTCAAAGAATATATCGAGTTATGTTTATAATTTTAAAATATACAGTATTTTATTGAAGCCATTGTATTCAATATGCACATTCGTTTTGATCTTCGAGCTAATATGGTGTATTAGCAGAAAAAAAATGATTTTATAAAAAGAATTGATTGGAGGGCCTAATATATATCATATATAATAAATGAAATATTTCATAAAAATAAAACTTGCCTTGACTTACACTCTACAGATTATTAAAAGAGGTAATTGTGAAATCACCTAAAATTCACGCCTTAGAACTCATTTGGTCAATTTATCTTTAAATTGTCAGTAATTATTTGTTGGCAATATTTTATAATCCTTCTTTTGTCACCAAACTCTAATGTGTGCAACAGTTTGACAGTCAAACAGTTTCTGTTTTTATTTTACATTTTCAGCTAGTAAAATTTGTTATTTTATAAAGACCATCTTTTCTGTACTTTTGTTTTATAACTTATCTTATTAATTAATCACGTAATACATACATAGACATAACTTAAATAAAAGAGAATAGTGAAGAACATGGTCACGATCTGTGTCCGCTTTATGTGGCAACGAACAAGGGTATAAACTATCGTAAAATATGTTAGAAGTTTATAAGCATAAATGGGAATTTATGTTCATGATGACTTAGCATTGATCTTTTGAGAGTTGTACGTAAAATAATTCATGGGTGACATGAAATTAAATTGAACAATATACGCACTCAATAGACTAGATGAAATATGGAAACAAAAGATCGTCCTTTTGACGTCGAACGTCGACATGTGACGTGTTTTTAAGATCTACATTATAAGTACTTAAAAAACCTTTAAAACTGAAGGAATTATTACTTAACGTAAAAAAAAAACATTATGTGTATTTCTGTGTACTACACTAACACTATCAATAGATAACTAGTTTTCTTTTCTTTCTAACTTCAAAATGTTTAAATATTTCGATTACACAAGAAGGCACGATGAAGTAGGAGTAGTTATGTTAGATTCGAAGAAGTTAAAAACGAAATTGGGAATCTTTTATTTGAATATCTATTGGAATAGATTATTACCTATTACGTAACGGGGTACTATTATTGTAGTATTTTATCGTTGTAGTATCTTTATTTTGCTAAACTTTATTTACGAATAATCCCTTAATATGCGGTTTAAAAGAAATTCTCATTTCCCTAACCGCACTTACTAAGGTTTCCCTTTTAAAAACCTTATTTACAGATTTGTCTTTAATGGATTAATAACGCCTAATAATTCTTCTGTAGGCACTTCCACGTATTTAAATATAATTAGACGAAAATACATAAAGCTTGCAGTAATTTACAAAGGACGTTTAAATGTCTCATAAAGTTGTCGTACTGTTCAGTAAGGATTTATCACAACCGAACACTTTGGTTGTAACACATGAACGTCGACGTAGTGTGCGTGTTCTCGGTATGTGACGACGGGACTACGACGTCCACTCTGTCAGTTTGTCGGTTTTCCACATATGAATGCGCGGGAGTAGAGTGTTTTACGCGCCAGTAGTGCACAGCATCGCGGCACGCGGCGCGCCTTCCCGCAGCGCATACGTGCATCTGCGCCAGGAAAACTTGCATATTTACCGAACACATTTTATAAATCAAATCGTAAAGAAAAAAGTGAACTGCTAAAAAAGTGTGTACAATTTTTAAAGATAATCTTTTGGTGTAACATAATGCATTGTTTTCGTTTGTATTTTTTTTATAAAATTTATAAAAGACATATAAGCATTGTAAACGAAAGTTACAAGTTGTAATCACAATATTTAAATATTACGGGTTTATCAACCGATAAAACATAAAAAAATTCACCCATCGGCATTAGCGTTGGCTTCAAGCGAATAATTGAATTTCCTTCAAAACACTCTTATTATATTCTACGTTAAGTGATGTAAGCATCGGTCAATGACAGTCTAATGTTAATTTGATGGCTGTCAAACTTCACCGTTGAGTAACTGAAGTCCCGTACACTCCGGATGCTTACAAGAATCTTATCAGCATTTACCTTGTATCAACAAAGGAATAAAGAGGGACATATAAATGAATGTTAAGTACGCTATAAAATTATATTTAGAAGCTGTTAATCGCTGACCGAGAGTAAGACCTTCACGGTCCACAACTAATTTCAATCGTTGTGTACGGTATCTTTACTGTAATTCGAAACTGCACTAATTGCAATATATCTTTACGTCTTGTTCCTATTTATTTAACTCTTCCTGTTTGAATTATTTTCCTTAATTTGTTTTCGTTTTAATCGACTTCTTCTTTGATTTGATGATCAAAAGGCGTCCTTCAAAATCTAAGCTTTTAAGGTAATGGATTTCTTAAGTTTAATAACTTAACTGAAATTAGATATTACTGAGAAATTGCTTTATTAAGAAGTAGGAATAGTAGTTCTGTTTCTCCTTTGAACTAAATGTAAATGAACACATAAAACAAGTAAACAGGATAGGTGCTAAAATCTAGTCTGATTTAGACTTATAGGTGCATAGTATATTGCTGTTACTAGAAAACCTGACTTTTGAACATATTATTATGGATATGATAACTTCGGAACTTTAAATTAATTTTATTCCTTGGTGGTAATGCTGTTTATAGTTCTCAGGAAATTTTGAATAACCATATAATAGTCTTGATATTAACTTCACTTTGTTAAGTAATAACACTTTATATTAAGACTCGACGAGATAATAAGCAGAACAAGGTATTCGAGAACAAAGTACAAGTGTTTAAAATCACAGCAATAAATGGCTTTTAGTCTTGAAATAATCAAGTATATACTCGTACTTGCTTCGGCTTTGCTGTACTTACAACCGTGAGTATTGTAAAATGAAGATACCCGTTTTTCTTTAGTTTACTTAGAAAACTTCTCAGTTCTTTTTCAAATTAAATTTTCTTTTTATGTTTTTGTGCTTTATATATTTACAAGTAAAATATGGATTATTTACATATTTAAAGTAACTTTCACTGCCAGATTTTTTTTGTTTTAATTGTTGTTTTTAGTAGAGTAGGTAATATGTAACCGAGATGAATGGCGTGTTAGTGTCGAGTGAATCTATAGGCAACCCTTCAAATCCGCTACAGTATGAACCATCAATTAAAGTCGGCTTCAGTATGTTGATCTCAACGTCTGATCGGCAATTTTGGGCTGCGTCATTCGCGACACTGCTTGTGTTAATTTTTCATTAAGAAATTATTAAAAGACGGCTATAAAACTTCACATGTACTGATCAACAAATTGGGGTTACTACAAGGTCGATTAACATCTGCTTTAGGGCTGGCATTGTCCTAAAACTCGACCATACTGTGCTAATTAGTGTAATTTATTTTAAAAAGAACTACGTGACTTTAATTAAGATATATGCTTCTGACGGGTAAAATAATGGCTTTCTTATCTTTCGGGGCCCTTAGAGCCATTGTGACGTCATTATTAACACGAATTTTCTTGTCTTTACTATATTATGTAGTATAGAGTGAGTTGAGGCGTGTTATATAATCAACTATGTTACAAATACTAATGTAGGGCTAATAAATATTCTTTTAACATACATTGCTGTCATAGATTCTCGTAGCAGATAATTATGTTGTGGAAATCGTTTATCCCACGATTGTTGTATGTGTGTTTATGTGTTTTATTCCATCCATCCATCCATCCACAGCCTTTACAAGTCCACTGCTGGACATAGGCCTCTCCTTAGATGGGGGTTTTATTATGTTACACAATCAATGCTATTACGATAGTTATACGAATATCGACTACTAATTGACGACTAATAATCTTCGACTCGATACTAAAATATGCTAGTTTCAGTATTAGCATTTGCAAACAAGGTAAGGTTAGGATCCAATATTCCTTCATTTCTGTACCGATTCAACAAGGCAACACAAGTTTCGACACTCATTTCTTTCTGCAAATCAGTTAAATCGTGAGGCACCCATTTTTCATATTTTTTTATGTAAATGTGTCAATATAGTAGGTAAGTAACGTATAGTAAAGTATAGTAGGTATGGTAACGTTAAACCATGCCGCTAATTCCTGGGTAGTTTGACTAAGATCGGCTTCAACCATCTCATTCAATTCAACGTTATTCACCCGTGTCTTCCACGTGGTTCGTTCTTCAAGTCGAAGTTTCCATTACCAAAGCGTTTAAACAAAAACGCACGGTGCGTTCGTTAGCAGTCTCCTTTCTAAACGCAGCGTCGATATTGCGAGCCGTTTCTGCCGCGTTAGTTCCGCGTCGAAACTCGTATTCAAAAATGACTCTGATTTTCGAAGTATCCATCTTTCAAGTCTAAGCTGAATAAAAAAAAAAAACAATTGAAAGTCGAAAATCAAATGTTGCACATTTTTTAAAAGAAGAACCTCACAGGTATCATGTGGAAAAGTTTCACACGAAAATCTCACATCATGAAGGTTTATGTCAATTCAAAGTATCTATTACTATACAGCAATTTCATACTTTAATAAAATGTGTTATATAACAAAACAACATTATTAGCTATGCCCTAAATTAACTAAGAAATTTAGTAATCATACTCGTATATTCGGCCCCTTTTCATCCGGTACCTCGACCGTAGGAATCTTCTATAATTGAATATGTAAAAGGCGGCCAAGTATTTTTAAATGTATTATTTAATCTATCATTCGACTTTGACGTAGAAATTCTCGGTTCATAGTTGAAAGGTCTGAATATTGCCAGCCCTAGCGAGGTTATTTCAACTCTCTGTTGAGTACATCTTTATTTCTTACTTATTGCCATTCATCATCATTGTCATTCTCTGAAATTCGTAATGGTGCTACTATTAACGTGTCAATAGTACATTGCTTTGTGTTGTTTAACCACAATTTATTGTGTGGTGAACGTATGGAGATTGCGGTGTATATAATATTAGGCAACTTTAACCTAAACTTTAACTTACATGAACAACATATTTTACAACAAATACAATATTACGAGTACTACCAACTCGTAATACTTACAGGAATAATAATATGAAGCTGATAAAAAACATTAAAAGAAGAAAATTGGCTTAGAATTTGTTTAAACCTATTATTTTCTGTAAAGTAACTTTGACATGGCTTGAGCGTTAGGGAATACGCTGATCTTATTCTTTTCTTTTACGTGTGGAAAGCCCCTCGGGCCATCGCCCTACCGGGGTTCGCGGCGAGTTAGTGTGTTGGAATTGGACCGAATCAAAGCACACGGTGTGCCACTCTGCGCCTAAAATATGAGGGATCCAGGGACTGCTGTTATTAACACATCCGGACCCCTACCAGCGACTGCTAGCAACGGCGCGGGCACCACTTTTGGTTACATTCTCTATTTAGGTGACGTCCGGCATACGCGGACGTTGCCTCCTCGCAGTTGGCCGTTATGTTGGGTGGAGGGGAAAACCCGTCCCGTGCACCCGCGGCCATACTCAGGGCAGCATGAGGCGTTGATAAGCGCACTTCCGCTGACCAGTGGGCGGCGAATTGGGTCCGAGTAGAGAATCTCCACTGGAGATCATCCTCCTGGGCACTTTCGCCTCCAAATCCCACGGCGGCGAACGTGCACGCTGCCTCCGTCGACACGGTGCGGTAACCGCGTATGGCCTAACCACCAATACACTCTGAGGAAAGGGACTCCAAAGATGCACTCTATTTTAGGCGGTCGCAGCCACCCACCCACACCCGTGCACCGTACAGTGCCATGTACCGGACAACCCCCATGTACAGCCGTCTCGTCGCGATGCTGGGTCCACCTAAATTAGGCAAAAGTCGCCAAGAACAGACGCAGCGCCGACCAGCTTTGGAGCAGTGCTTGTCGAAGAGCCACCTCCCGTCGAGGATCAAGCCTAGATACTTCACCTGAACCTGAACCGACGTTGAATCGACAACGATTGAGGCGCCAGGGGGAGGACCACGGCGGGGCCCATGAAATAAGACTGCCTCCGTCTTATCCAGGGACGCTTATCTTATTCTAGCTCGAGCTTGCATGTATCTAACCACGTTTAATTTTACAGTCGTTCTTCTGCTTGACAGATTAAGAAACAATGCTTTTGTCGACTACCTTAAAAATTAGACAAGTCAGTGTAAGAATATATCTTTATATGAGACATCACCTATTTTAGGAACACATTTATTCGAACGGGAACACCCAAATACTCTGAAATATTTAATTCCGAATTTCAATGTTTCGATTTTCAAAAGTCCGGATTTCATAATACCTAAGAATTATAATGTCTATTATTAAAATTCACGAAATTTATTTTACCGACAGTAGTAAATGCAATGTGTTTGTTTCCGATTTTTATACGTTCGAAGAATCAAATGCTCGATTGGTTCTCGGTCCGAAAAACGACATTCCTATTTTCAATTCTTCGAATAAACTGCTAAAATTAAGATTCTGATTCAGTCAGTATAATATTCAGTTATGCATATATATTAAAAAGCTATAAGTAACGTTTAATGCAATTTACTCGTATAAACGTACTTTGGTATTAATATTTTTTTTGTTTTTTTCTTCTTCTCCTTGTTGAGTACAATCTACTGTTATTGATTTTTTTTAGGTTAGGTTAGAACCGTGACCATTAAA